GTTCCGACAACGCTTTACGCTGAAACAACTGTGAAAAAAGAATGTTTTTCATTGTACAAATGGTTTTGATTCAGTGGGAACGTATGAAAGGAATGAATTCAATACATCACTGCATCAAAGTGAAAGTCAAAACAAATAAATCAGAGCCTTGTTCTGTCTCCTCTCTTCATGTTTATCTGCCATACACGTTCGAGCATGGCAAGGCATGCCATTTTGCCCATTATCAGCATGTTGACCACTGTCAAAAGGCAATAAAATTTCTTGTTTTTTCAAAATCAGGCGAAAATCAATGCGCGCTGATGTCATCCATAAAAATTACTTGCTGTGGCCTCACTTATAGTTTACCACTACAGGTGGGTTCACGAGCGTTAACAACATTCAAACAAAGACAGACGACTTCTGCAGCCTCTCCTTCGCCAAGGCGACCAACCAATCAGGAGAGTACAGCTACAGCAGGTGCATGTCGGGAAACTACATCGTCGCGTTGCTAAGCGACGGCTACAAGATAGACGCCAGTGCGCCCGACAAAGTTTACATCACACAGGAAATCAACGGCGTGCAGATAGGTAAATATGAAATACTTTTTGTTACCTCCGGGGGAGAATGTATCCTTCCGCGGTTTTTTTGGGAGATGTAGATTTTCACGTTCGCAGCCGTTTCTCGCACTTGGGTGGACGGATATTTCTGGGACTTAGTATACGTTTTGCTATCGGGCTGTAGATGGTGCACGTTGTTTTGCTTTTTTAGTATGTGTGTTTTAGGACGTGAAAATGATGCGTTTTGACAGCGTATGAACACCCCTTTGAGTTTGAAAGTGGTTTCGTGTTTTGACCTTCGGCGTGTATTAAGTATCGTGGGTGTCGTCAACGTCTGGTTCGGTTTTCAAAGAGGGGTGTCAGGTATCGAGGAAAGAAATATTATTTATCATTTTTAGTTTGTATATCTATTGTATTTTTAACAAGAAATTAACATCAGCTTACAAAACTACAGGGTAACTTTTGGCTGGAGATAATGTACATGTACTTCCAACTAAAACAAATATAAAGCCATGTTTGCAAAATGAGTGACAACAACACATGTATATTAAACTTAATACGATTTTGGCTTGTCTGTGTGTGTGTGTGCGTCGGTTTCTCTCTTGATTTTCAATGCACGCCATTCTACGTTGCCAGACTGAAAGGGTCGCAAAGCAGTGTGGGTAAAGAATGGAATCCGCCACCTTTGAACGCATCAAAGATCATTTTGTTGAATGCCTATTAAGTAAATATTTTGATAACCAGTAATTAATTGATTGATTGATTAATTTTCAGGCTGGGCTCTAGGATCCATGGTGTACGAACTGAATCTACTGGATATCAGCACGTCGGCAGAACGTACTGCGCCTGCGCAGAATCCCGATTTTTCACGGTTTTCGTTGGATTTTTGGTCAACGTTGCATTAGAATTTTGCTTGTTGCAGACGATATCCTTAACAGCTACGACTCTCCAAGCAGATCATAGTGTGGCAAGGCAGTATCCTTTGGCCAGAGGAGTGAGTCAACGAAGTATGCGTGGCCAATGGATACTGTCTGGCTATTTATTGTGGATAATGCCTCACCAATTTGATACTGTCTTTTGCGGCCATCGAAAGATCTGCTTGGAGATTAGCTACAGCAAGTTAGATCAATCAAGGTTTTTAACCTCCTTGTATCAATCTGTAAATAGTCGTTGCATCATATTTTTGGCAAAGTGTAAATTATTAATCATGGAACATTACAGTACTGATGCTTATATGAAAAGAAGGAGTGAGGTAAATATCAAAGTTAACCCTAAACAGAACACCTGGGGTCCGCGCGGACCCCAGCACTATATATTCTGTAATATCTTTTTTGTTTCTAAAGATTTTTTTCTGAAATTTTA